GGCGTCTTCTCTGCATACGGCAGTTTAAACTGTATTTCCTTTATCCTGTAATATGACTTGAGAGATTTAAACTCCGCACACTGAGTTAATCTCTTTTCTATAGACGCCGGAGACGGGCAGCGTCAGGTACGAAAAGTTATTTAGCCTTCCCAAACCTGAGCCTCACGCGCCGCCTATGCTTGCCGGTCTTTCTTTCATATGTTTACCTACAGCTTTCTGTCAGCTGTTTCTGTGAAAGGATAATGGACAACAGATAAGTCCGGTTGTCAGTAACAGTAACCATGCCCACACTGACTGTGTAATCTTTCATTTTAATTTTAGCCTTCTATACACTCCAAACATTCTTACACCCAAAAGAAACGATATGCTTTCTAGATTTTCAACACTGGCCTCATGATAACTGGGAAATGGTCAGCATGCTCCCTCCAGCCTGTGTGGCAGGAAAATAAAGAGACAGATTCTCTTTAGCCTCAGTGTCTCTTTGTGATCGCCCATTTTAATTGTGAGAACAGCCAATCAGACAGCACGTGTTGTAAATAAGCTGCATTTCAGTTTATGATATCGTAAAACAGTAGATTGTAGTAGCAGAGGAATTGCTGTTCACCAGGTAAACAGACAGCTCGAATGAACTGTAATCAGATCACTACCAGGGGTTTTCAGTTGACTGAAAACAAAAAACTATTAACAATTTAAACAACAATTTTGAATGATTGCGTCTAAATTGTCAGTTTGGCTGTATGGAGATTAATATGTTGACTTTATAAACTGGTCAAATGCAACTGCACAAATCTGCTTCAAGAAGGTTATGAGTTTTTGGTATAATGATCATTTTAGATGCTGTAGTTTGATGGGTCTGTTAAATTGTATTACATCGCACAGATTCTGTTATTTAGCCCGCCCTAATCGAAATAAATGGGGTGGACACATAATAGAACATCTGTCAGTCTAACAAAAAACAATTCAGCAGCACGACAAACTACATCCTCCACAGAATCATAGAACTTGTTGTATTAAATAAACAAATCTCTTAATTTTTTTTTATAAAACCAATACAAGAGTCCTGCAATTAATTCCGCCTATCTAAAAAGGTATTTTGTTCAGTTAGGTACACCCAGAGCCCTAGAGAGATAAGAGTTACGACACTCTGAGAGTGTCGTAACTCTTAGTATCTCTAGGGCTCTGTTAGGGCTCTGGGTACACCTATCCAAAAATAATGAAGGCGGAGTCTATTCTTTGACACAAATGTAAAATGTATTTTGTTACGTTCCCTCCTAAACTAGGGGTACAAAGGGAAGTAACAAAACACAAAATCTACCGGGCGAGAGAAAAAGGAGAGGAAACTGTCCTTTGAAGCCACAAAGTGATGCTTTAATTCATGAAAAAGAAAATTCCAGCCAATTCGCAAAACAAACTTAAAGTAACTAAGAACAACTTTCTTCTTAAAGAAAGTGACTAAATTAAACAATACACAAAAAGGCAAACTGGAGCACATCTCCGAACAATTCACAAAAACACAGGCCTCACACAGAGACAGAGACAGAGACAGAGACAGAGACAGAGACAGAGACAGAGACAGAGACAGAGACAGAGACAGAGACAGAGACAGAGACAGAGACAGAGACAGAGACATGCAGCCAGAGGAGAAGGCGAGGAACCACTGCAGCCTTCCTCAGGTCCTTTATGTAGGCCCTGATTGGGGATTGGGAGCACCTGGGGGAGAGGCTGCACCTGGAGACAATCAGGGAGAGAGAGAGACACACACACAAGCACCAACTGCGGCACGTAGCATATATATTTACATATTTCCATTTTCGGAGTTCAGTAGAAAAATGAGCATTGCATCCCATGTTGAGTTGTCCAATTCATTTCGCTCTTGATCTGATTTGAACAATAGATCTCACTTAGTCTGCCTGAATTGTCTGAAATGTAAGATGGCCCCACCTTTTTTAAAATTCAGCGAGAGGGTATCTGGCAGAAGGGAAGCCATGAGATGCCGTTAGCTTGTCAGCCGACCTGATTGCCTACAAGCACCTCCACCCACTCTCAGGCTGCTGATTGATGAAGGCCAGGCAGAGCATGGAGTTGAGTTGGGTAGGAAGATCAGGCCACTTTAGTTGTCATCCATTTGTATTTATCACCTGTCTTCATCCATGAGCATCATGCACACAACTGAATCAGAGCCACAATGCCTTTCTAATGATAATGAGCAGTTATTGTGTACAGGTGTTCTTGCCGCAATATCACCCAAAAGAATAATTAAATATGGATTTTCCACAAGTTGGTTTTGATTCATCAGAGCTCAGTGAGATAAATCAGATCATTTGTTAGTGTGGTATTTACATACAAAAACATCTGTATACAAGCTCAGCTTTCTAAGGATCTTCGTGAAGGAGAAGCGTAGGAGAGTGCCAGAGCGATCTGTGTAAGGAGCTTTGCCTGTCAATGTTGGCATACAGTCATCCATCATTTTAATTTTAAGCAAGGAAGACAGAAAGAGAAAAGCAGAATTTCCCTGAGCTAGCATGACATAACCCACATCCACCAGGTCCTAAAGAGTAATCATTGGCCTGTATGCACCTGAACAATGCCCCGCTGACGTGAAAGTGGTTTTCCAACATAAATCCAGGAGAGCAGCTCATTGATATTCACAGGAGATAGAAATAGAAAGCAATATTTTCTGGGAAAGCAAAGCCTGTTTACTCACACTTCATTCATAGTTAGCTTCTAGGGAGCTATACGCTAGGGGGGGTAATGTCACTGCGAGGTCAGGGTGTAGTTGTGCTCCGAATGTGAGCTGCGGCAGTCAGGTCTGGTTGGAAGACAGAACCAGAAATATAGAGAAGCCAATTTATTTATGAATTAAAATAATATGCTCACACTCTGAAACCTCACAAGAATCTCTATCTTTCTTATCTTCCACTCTTTCAAAACTATTGACTACTACTAATAATATATATATTGTTTTGTTATCAATGTTGGACCAGAAAAAAATGGAAATGAAAATGGATCAGTAATAAAAGTGGAAGAAAGGAACACCATGTAGACATTTTTTTTTCAAATGTTGAGTATTTTGGCATGAACAAGAACAAAAGATCCAGAAAAAGGCAGAAAGAGTTGTATAGAATAGGGTTGGGAGATTTGTATGAACTGTTGTGAGAATGAATGTGTGGGTGGGTGGCTAGTCACTAATTAATGGTTGGATGTGATTTAGGAAAAATCTTTTGCTTTCAAATTTTTATTAGAAAAATAAACTGTTTTTGTTGTTGTAATTTCCTCTTTGTGATATTATTTTAAGTAGAAAAAATAAACGCTTACATTGAAAACAGAATAAACGTACTTATCTTATGCTTATGGAAATCCAACCGGCTCCTCATTATCTCAAAGGTGTTGATTTGCAAAGATGACCTTCGCAGGTCAGATGTTTTCTCTTTAATGGCATGGCAACACGTTTCATTATTTCTTTAAAAAGGGGTCGGCCATTCCTTCAAGTTTTTATACTTAAATATTTCACATAGGTTTTAGGAAATCCACAAGCCTCTCTCTGACAGCAGATGTACAGTAAGAAGATGGCCCAACATTTAAGGGTGAATGCAGGGTAACACAGGCAGCCAAGGCAAACGAGGAGAACAGGTGAACAGATTGATTAGACAGAATAAGACAGGAAAGAAGAAAAACACATTCAGGGCTTTGTGTGTGTTTGAGCCTCATCTGGGCAATTAAATGCTTCTGCACCAGTTAACACTCGGTGAGCCATTCCTGTCCAAACACGGCTATTTCATACATGCAAGTTCTTCTAAAAATGTGAGTGAAGCACATATTCTGTGGCCACTGCTAACAGGGCACACATATATATATATATATATATATATATATATATATATATGTATTTTTCATTTTTAAGAAATATAAGTAGTCTTTCTTATCATAAATATATAATCAGACACGATACGATTCAACGAAGCAGAAGAAAAACAGATGATTATAAACATTAAATTACTGGATGTAATTAACAGATCACAGATACATTCATTAGTTAGATCCAGGGGATCATTAGAAATGTTTACTGTTGCAGACCCCACCCATTTTTGCTAATATTCTATATGTTGTCAGGGATACTATAAACATGATTTAAAAGTCAACAAAGGTTGTGTCCCACAGAGCCATTTTATCAAAGTCGATTTAGCTTTTTTTGAGGGACTTTAGCGTCCATTAGCGTGCAGGCCGACTGTTGCATCCGAGGTTAAGTTATATACCATCACCCTGCTCTGGAGGAAGAGGCTGAGCATGATATTCCTCTGCTTCCCTTGAAACTAGATTTTTTTTCCAAGCACCATGTTTTGGCTCTTGAGATCCCCAAATTGAGCTCAGGGGATACGTTTAAAAATAGTCCAATAAACAGTTCAACTTTTGCACGTTTCCAATCTCGACCTCCCCAGTCAATCCATAAATCCTTAGATTGTTGCATCTCTTTTCTAGATAAAATGGAAACAATGAAATTCAAAGATATGTGGAGAGAAAATATCTTTCATCAGCTTTCCAGGAGGGTGATATATGTTGAATAATCACACTTTGAGACTGAATATTAATGTAGAGGTGCTTCATTTTTTGATACCTTATACTTAAAAAAATTGCAAATTAAATGCGCTTTTACGCATAAATATCCAGTGCCTATGCCTGGATAGGGATTCTTGTCGCGTTGAAGCCGTCTATGAGTTATCATAATTTCTACCAAACTTCTCATTCTCTTACTTGTTCTCATTTAAGTTGCAGTTTGAGACAAGCAGTGGTAAACATATCCAATCATTCACAAGAAAGTAAAGCTAAGACAAAATAAAAAAATGTAAACTTAGAATCTCTGATTAATCACTTTAAGATCCCTCATATTAAATTAATTTTATAATTACCCCATGTTGCTTATGTATTGATCCGTCAGTACTAACAATTTGACTATTTTCTGTCTTCTTCTTTTCAACTCTCTCTCTCTCTTTCCTGCCTCTCAGTCTCGTCAGACCCCTGAGGGCGAGTTCCTGCCTCTGGACCAGTGTGAACTGGATGTTGGTTTTGGGACAGGAGCAGACCAGCTCTTCTTGGTTTCACCTCTCACTATTTGCCATGAAATCAATCCCAAGAGCCCTTTTTTCGACTTATCCCAGCGCTCCCTCATGAACGAACAGTTTGAGATTGTCGTTATCCTCGAAGGCATCGTGGAAACCACTGGTGAGATTCTTCCTGAATTAAACTCCTTTCCCTTCACTGCACCTCTTTCATTTCATTTTATGTGTATCCACTTATATGCCATTCTCATTTCTTCTTTTCTTCACTCTCCTTACTCTCAATCTAAATGTAAATTCCTATATTAATATGAACCCACAAAACATTCTCGTATAATAGATACTGCGCAATCTAAACTCTGAGAAATCTAATTTCCCTGCCTCAGTTTTGCATATTTGAAGAACACAGGAAATGAACAAAATTGAATAAGAACACTGACACCATGATTTAATTACGAGGGATATTTTATTACAGCAGAATCGGTTTAAGCCCACCCTATGCATAATAAAAGCCTGTGGTCATGGATGCGTGTGTCACTTGGATGGATGACCCTGGGTCTTGGTTGAAGTTCCACTACATTTTTCAGATGATGACTGAGAGCAGAGGTAACTCTGAGCCTGTGAGACATTGTTATACAGCCGCTGCTGTTAACTACAGGCCGCTGGAGGACTCTCACTGTTCTCTCTATGGCACATGTAACAGAATGATTCTTACCTTAAGTCCAAAACTGAAAAATACATATCCCTCCTTTCTTATTTGGTCTGCTTCCATCCATCCCCTAGAACCCTCATTTTGCTTCTTTTGTAGAAGAAACCACAGAGCTGAATAGTCTTAGAGCAGGAGGGAGGATTCAGCAGGGAAGCGTAAAGGCACAGTCTGTGCTCTGTTGATAATGCCATTAAATCAGAGGACAGCCAGAAGTGTAGTGCCGCAGTGCTGTGGCCCTCGGAGCTGAGGAGTAAAGAAGGGAAGCCCTGGCAGTGTCACATTCAATGGGCCACAATATCCCATCATCCTCATGCTGACACACATCCCATTAACCCTGTTAATCCAATAACACATTAACAGGTATTCCCCACATGCTGTTCAGCTTGTTGATGGTGTCCCTAACTCACACTGTAAAATGTTTGGCTGTAAAATTACAGTAAATTACTGGCTACTAGTTGCATGGATTTCACAGTAATTTACTGTAAATATTTCACAGTAATTGACTGTAAATATTTCACAGTAATTTACAGTATATATTTTACAGTTAATTAGAATAAAAGTACAACTAAATACTGTGACTTTACAGTTGCCATGCCCATGGAATTACTGTGATATAGCAGTACAGAGCTGTGGTATTATGGTACCTTGCTGTACATAAATTACAGTAATTACCTGTATGTTCACACTATTACTGTAGAAGTAATGCAACACAGTAGCCAGTAATTTACTGTAAATATACAAATCTAAATCATACGATAATATATTGTAAATTTGACTGGGATTGTACCATAACTACACAATTCAATCAGCTCAATCAACAAAGAAAAACAAAGAAAATGCCCATTTAAACTTGTTATTACTCCATTGAAGTGCAAAGTACATTTCACAGTGTCTTGGAAATGTTGTTACGGCCCCAACCTCTACTCCGCGGTAGTGGCTCGTGCTGAGACCCGCAACATGAAAGAATACACGCAATAACCGGTACTTGGTAACGAGCATTTATTGATAATCAGCCGTTTGCTCACACAAGCGAAACGGGAAACAAAAAGAGGTCTGGAGGAGTGGCCAAAAGGAACAAACAGAAGGAGGGAAACCGAGCCAGCCACACCACGGGCCGTAGGACCCAGATCTCCCCCCTAACCAGAAATAAATTATAAACCCTGTGGGAAACAAAATAAAGCCGCAAAAACTGGTCTACCAGGTCCTCCAGGCTAAACATAAACACATCTGCAAAAATATGGCCTACAGCTCAAAATGACAAAGAGGTATTCTAAGGACAGTGTCTCCGGCGTTAGGATAGGCGAGACATCCTTCTCCTCCAGCTTCTCTTTATATATACACGGCTGAGTGGAATTTGGAACACCTGGGCAGAGACGGAGCCAGAGGCAGACCAGGTGCACCTGGGCAGAGGCGGAGCCAGGGGCAGACCAGGTGCACCTGGGCAGAGGCGGAGCCAGGGAGACAGAAAACAAGGAGGGGAGCACGTAACACATGTCTACACAGACATCCACTCAAAGTCAACAATTTTTCTGAAGAATGTGCTGACATGGGGGTTTAAATTGCCATGCCTCTTTTTGGCTTTCGAGCCCGTCTCAGGGTTAATGCCCAGGAAGCACCTGAAAACAATAAGCCAAGACAACAATTTCAATTTACATAGATGTATGTTGCCTCATTTATTTTAAGGCATATGCAGCGGTGCCCCTTTCAATTTAAGTAAAACCTGCACCAAAGAAAGAAATTAGTATTTAAAGCCAAGCGAGAGCGATACAAGCAAGAAAATCACTTAATTTGTTGTGTTATCACAGAGGATGGTCTGAATACAGTATTTTACAATGAAATAATACAGTAACATGTTGTGAAATCCTGGTAATCATTTATCCTGTACATTCACAGTAATGAACTGTGCCTGTATTGATTTCACTGTGACATTCTAAATTACAGTGTTATATTGTGAACATTACAGGTAAAGACTGTAAAGTGGTAGAACAGTAATTTATTGTAAAATATTACAGCTAAATATTGTGAAATCATGGTAATATTTTACAGTGTAGACTCAACATCAGCACTGTATCAAATACACTATACTGTACAATACAAGTATTTTGCCATCATCTAATCAATCCAGTTCAGATAATTAATTGTCTTGAAATAAATGTTTTTCACCTTAAAAAAAAGGAGGTTGGGACCTAATCCAAAATCGGCAATTCGGAAAACATGCGAAGACCAAATACATTTTCAAAATAGACCCGATGATTGCTAGACCAAATTCATATTCTGTCAATACAACACATCCTCACTCCCAGGTCGGCCTATGTTGACGTTATGTCAAGTCCCCTGTGTCGGCTTTTTCCAACGCAAGAGGGGGGCGGCCGTGTCGGCTTTTTCCAACGCAAGGGGGGGCGGCCCTTAGCGTACATTTTCAACTTTCCGGGATGTCCATAGGCTTCTATAGCTCCCTAAACGTATGTTGTAGACGACTTGAGATCGCGAGCGAATGCTACCTGAAGATCCATTCTCACAGCGTTTATCAACCTTTTTCTTACTCAATATCAAGCCATACTTATTGTTTTTACTTCTTTATTTTAATTGAATAATGTAGGACTTTTGTTTCCGTCAGTTATGGGGAGAGTAGGGGCTCAGAATACTGAAATCTGTATTGTTTCATCGTTTTTTTTGTATTCTTTTCTAAACCACACACTGCTATTTACTCAACAATAACACATAATTACCCTTGTGTTTATTTATTTGTTTGATTAATAAACACAAGTTGGAGTCCATCAGGACCGAGGGTCGGAGCTGCTCATAGTAGTTGCTTTAGATAATTTTACACCCGGAAGTAAGTATTCTCTCCGCTTCGCTTGACAAACCCCGTGATAATAATAATAATAATAATAATAATGCATTACATTTTTTATTAGAGCGCTTTTACAGGTGCTCAAAGCGCTTTACAAGTACACATTACACATATTAGACATGTAAGAGTCATTACTGCGGACACAGGAGCAAATGCGGGTAAAGTGTCTTGCCCAAGGACACAACTGCCTGACGCAGTGGCGGCCGAGGCGGGATTCGAACTGGAGTTCACCAACGCCCCTTGATCTGATGACCAACGCTCTAACCACTGCGCCAAAACTAGTCCTCAAGCTCTGTGATTGGATGTTTGAGTGTGCACCGAGGGTTACGCCGAGCGTCGAATTGCACTTTGAAATGGGATGGAACCACGGCAGACTGTCCAAAACTGGATTTGAACGGGATTTAAGCTCTGGGGCCTCATTTATAACGCCGTGCGTAGGATTCACGTGGGAAGGTTGCTTACGTAGTAGAAATCCAAAAAATAGGTAGAGAAATTTTCCGACATTTTCCGATTCACCAAACATTGCGTACCGGCGAGGAAAGTGCGTACAGCACTTTTTACGCCGGTTTCCCTTTTATAAATCACAATCGACTCGAAATGAGGTGCAGCTTTTGCGGGCTTCACGTAACGCCCATATTTGCCGATTAATAGTCAAAGAAACGCCCATTCATTCATTCATTTTGACTGACTTTATGAAGAAGATAGCAGGAAATGACGACAGAACAGCTAAAAAAAGACATCTCACACCGTGTCAGATTTTGGTTATTTTGGGGAGGTCGAGATAAATCATATTGTTTGGTGGATGCCGTTCGAACCAGAGTAGCAGCATGGAGGTCGGATCGTCACCAAAATAAATAAATAAGTGGTCCGAAAAAGGTTCATGACAAAAAAAATACACATAGCCTTCCTCAGGCAGTGTGTTTGTACCGGGGACAGGATACACCCCCTTGATGAGAAACTATAAGAAATGATCGGGGAATCCCTCCGGAGTGGATAATGACGACTGGATCTGAATTATGTTTTCGTATTTGGTGGTTTGTGTCCCAGCTGTCGATCAGCTGTGCGCAGCGTCTCCACTGCAGCCTGTGCATCTCAACCCCCCCCCTCCCCGCAGCAACTCTATATCCACCAGTTAGAGGAAATACAACTAATATGTTGTGTTATATTAGCTGTACAATTTACCACATATGGTGTTCTTAGTTTCCATACCTCCTGTGTTTTACGAGCGACTTATCAAGTCTTAGCAAATGGCATAAAACATGATTAAACATGGTAGTATATAAAACCATGCTCGTACAACCTATAGAAATGCAAAACCGCATCATTTATGAGAAAACATTTCATAACATTAACAGAACATATTCAAGGTGGTTTTAAATAACATATCCGTATTTATTTATTTCTCCAAGTTATGTTTTTGTGTGCACTGAGAAGTCTCAAACAGGCGTTTGTTTAATCATTTTAAGATTGGCTTTAATCAATGTTTGAAAATGAATTCTTCATATATGATAAATGAGAGGTAACATTTTATTTATGGTATTATTTCCACATATTTCTCTCCATTCTTCCTTCTGCCAACGGTGTCGCAGTTTCTCGTCTCTCCCGTTTTTGTGCTTAGTTCGTACGCATGGGTTAGAGTTTGCGTGGAGGACCGCATGTTTTCCTGTCAAGTTAGTATTTAATAAATCGCAAACATTGCGTAGAAACTGGCGTACACCATTTTTTGAGCGCATATCCCTTTATAAATGAGGCCCATGGTCTTATGTCTGTGACCCCTCCTGTTGTTCATTGATAAGCCTGAAACATGCACTTGTCAAGGTTCAGAGGCACATTTTGCAAATATGGCAGTAGCCATCGATCATCTTAAGATAAGATATACTTTATTGATCCCAAGTTGGAAACATTTGCGTTACATCAGCATGTGTAACAGTTGTAAATATGCAGTGGTGTTTATTTGTAAATCATTTAGTATAATCACACAAATGCTGTGTTTTATTTAATAATGCTGTGTTCTTTATTTATTGAATGTTCAATACCTGACAAGGTCGGAGATTAAAAACTTGGGTCGCAGGTTCCTCAACAGTGCATTACAAGACATCTATCAATATGTGTGTATACCTCCACCATTAAACTGTTCTATTCTGCACATTTCTTATACTATCTACATACATCTTATAAGAGTATAATATAATATCAGTTAAAATAAGTGCTTAAACATACAGTAGTTAACATTGCAGGAAAGCAATATATTAGTACTTTGTCAGGCTTAATATTTATACCCCCAAAGCTTTTTTCTTATTCAAAATAAGACCTTAAGGCGAGACACGGCAGGCAAAAACATCGTTTTTCAAGTACTGGTCCATTTTGAGATTTTGTGCTATTTTGATTCCATAACATGTTTTCTTTCAGGCTTTTGGAAGGAAAACGTACAAAATACACATTTAAGTGTTTATTTTACTATAGTTTGTCTATTTGCGTCTGTAGATTTCTCCTAAATTCACCAAAAGTTAGCATTCTAACGTAACATAAAGTACCGCGACCGCTGTGTGCACCATGTCAACAGAGGTATCGCTGGAAAGCTGTGTCTCTCCTGCACAATCTCATCGGATCCAAATATGGTCATTTCCTTTATATCAGCAACCAATCGTGAAAGCACAAAGGGGTCTTAAACCAAGAAACGAAATCTCATTGGCTGGTGTCAATTTCTGACAACGTGATTCGTTCAGATGCGTCACGTGGTGTGCTAAAACACTTCCTGGTTAGCTTTCAGCTAGAAATTGAAATCTCAAAATGCCAAAAGAACGGCGACAAAAACGTTCACAGAGAAGACGACAACAATTGTCACTTGCACAAAGCAAGGTTATATAAAAAAAAATGACCCTGAAAATGAAATACCTTCACGGAGTGCGTCGATGTGCAAGCTGTCATCCAAAGAACAGGAGGGTTTAGCTAGCGCCTCACTGCAATCTTTAAAGGTCGTTTTCTCAAAATGAGTTTTTTCTCCTACCCTGAGTTCGAAATTTCAACTTCAGTAGCACGTACATACACCAAACCTTCCAGTTATATTCCCATCAATATTATGAAGGCTTTTACAGAAGGGTTTGTTCATATATAATTCATAGCCTGAATTATACAACATTGTATACCTAAAAACATGGCGAAAATGGATATTTTAGGGCTGTTGACAGTATTTTCTGATTTATGGAGTGATAAAAAGAGATATCCAATATCCCTTCTGTAAAAGCCTTAGATACTAATATGACTACAAAATGAAACAATCATTTTGAATCTGGCTATATCCAAAGTTCAGATTTCGATTCCTGAAATGTGTTAAAATAGTGCATATTTAATGAGATAATGGTTAATTTGCATATTTAAACATGCTATTTCAGAAACTTGTAATACAAAAGACAATTGCCTTATTGTAAGTAATTAACTGGAGAAATGTCTAGCTGATACCTTTAAGTTAAAAAAATTACCCTATTCACCTGGGGTGTCTCGCCTTATTAACCTAAAGTATTATTTAATGTTTCAAATCAAGTTTTATTTATATAGCACATTTATAAACGATTTTTGGTCGAGCCAAAGTGCTGTACATATAATAAAAATAGCCTACAGTAGAGACACTTTACAGAAAATACAATAGCACAGATTGTTCAGAATATCAGTATGAGAAAAACGACACCCTCTATTCTTAGACCCTCACATCGTACAAGGAAAAACTTCCAGAGAAAACCCACAGTTTAAGGAAAAAAATAAAAGTGTAAATAAAGCCTTAGTTTGTCTGTCTGTGTCTCCTATTAATATCTAAATACAAATAATACATTTCAATAACGTGCTTAAACCACCAGGTGTCCCTTTCTATCAGCTGTGCGCCGTTATGGTGTAAATATACCAATATAGGCCTTCTGATTGGATCAAATATAAAAGTCAGCCGAATTAGTATTGATACTGCAAGGAGACTTATTGTGTGAAGAGAAATTGAAGATTTTGTTTAATTGCTGATATATTTATGATACACGTCACATATTCACTTTCTGCGGCAGTTGTTCCTGTTTGTCTAGAAGTCTTCTCATCCGGGCTCTATAAATAGCGAACTACGGCAGATAGTAATATTTAATGCAGCCGAACCGTGTATTACAATGCCGTTATGTGATGACTCCTAAGAGAAAAGCAAGCAAATTCGGAATAAAGTATTATTTTATTTAAAACAAATGTTTTCGTATTTCACATCAACAGGAAGTCCGGTTAACTAAAATATCCGTGCGGAACAATAACCCAACCCATAGATCCGTGGGTGAATAATGTCAATCACCACATTACACACATCCCTTCACATTTACATTTTAATTTACATTAAAGTATTTCGTGAGGCCTTCTAAAATGTTTTAAAATATAATTAGGGTTGTAGTTGAAGAGTTTGTAAATTATTGTGTTGCCTAGCAACGCAATTGCACAACGGCACGTCCATTAAATAGCCTAGATACAGATACAGATTTCAGTATTCTGAGCCCCTACTCTCCCCATAACTGACGTCAACAAAAGTCCTACATTATTCAATTAAAATAAAGAAGTAAAAACAATAAGTGTGGCTTGATATTGAGTAAGAAAAAGGTTGCTAAACGCTATGAGAATTGATCTTCAGGTAGCATTCGCTCACGATCTCAAGTCGTCTACAACATACGTTTAGGGAGCTATAGAAGCCTATGGACATCCCGGAAAGTTGAAAATGTACGCTAAGGGCCGCCCCCCTTGCGTTGGAAAAAGCCGACACGGCCGCCCCCCTCTTGCGTTGGAAAAAGCCGACACAGGGGACTTGACATAACGTCAACATAGGCCGACCTGGGAGTGAGGATGTGTTGGTCAATACAAATGGACACGAATGGAAAGAGCACAGTAATGCTGATAGTAGCATGATTCACCAAGTAACAAGCGATTGATGCCGAAAGAGCAACAATTAATGCACTAACTCTCTATGAAGGTTACACATATATGCAGATGACATGTCTCTCTCTTTCTCTGTTCATTTAGCTTATTTTTGAGTTGACATTGCCCGATTGAAATAGACTCTCATGAGAAAGGCAAAGCATAATAATTTGTTCTGTAAACAGTGCCAGTGAAAGCTCCTGCCAGCAATTTTACGTAAAGTCTCCTTCAGGGACGCCCTCTTTGCCGTCTGCCAAGTGTTTGCATAGTTGTGCTGAGGGCTTTTATTTTTATACAAGATGAAGTAAACATTAACCAGCTGGTTGAATACCCATATGACGCCTGAATGATGAAACAACACTGGCAGGCCTGTCAGGCTCTAACCCCACAAGGTTTTCCACTGACCGGTATTGTCTGCAGATAAACAGATATTTATGGAAAGAACACAACTCAGCTCAATATTTACCCTCGACTCCCCATTGTGATTAAAGCCAAGCCTCTGGGCTAATTAAGAAAAAAACAACTGTAGAACTGACTTTTCTATGGATAAAGATGAGTAGTGAGCCTGGAATAGCATCAGGCTATGACATAACACTCCCTCAGAGGGACGGACTCAGACTCTACAGCTTACTGTAGTTTTTAACAGAAAGGCTCAGGTAGAAGCTGAGCCACTGGAACAGAGAGAATATAAAAATGTACGGATCGTGGAAAACCTACAATAAGCATCAAAATGTCAAGAACATTTTAAAATAAGTTCTCAAGGTTGTAATCTTGTGTTCATCAGACACACAGACACTACATTACAGACACTAAAGACCCATGGCTCTTGACATTGATGTATTGATGTACGGAGGGTGCTGGGGGGCTGCTTGTTTTGTTGTCCAGACTTGACAGGCAATTATCACGACCAATGAGCCACACTGATAACAAGCCCCACCAACCTTTAACCCACATTAACAGCACGCAACAATGGGAATCACTTAGCATTACAGGGAAACAAATAGCACTAATTTGACCTCCAGGAAGGAACATTTAGAGACAGATTAACATCCCGTTGTGAAATGCTATACAAAGATGTCCTTTGTCTAATTTCAAAACAAAGTTATTCCATTTGAGTGCATTAGAAGTGATGATTTGGACGGACAATAGTTATAATTGTTAGTTGAAATATCTGTGTATCATCTTGCATGAACCATTTGGGAAATGGCAGGAATCCTTCCAAGTGGATTTGCATTACTCAATCTCCAGTATGTGACTAAATGCATCTAGGTGGTAGATTGAAAAAGCAGGAGCATGAAGCGGTGTTTCCATAAGCAATAAGGACGAGCCGAGCGGAAAAAGAGATAATGGGAGGGGATGCTGCCCTTTCACATTCCTCCTAACACTTAATAATTGTTTTAATGGAGCTAAACTCCATTTACTTATTACTACCCTGTTACTCTCTCCTAGGTATGACATGCCAGGCACGGACATCATATACAGAGGACGAGGTTTTATGGGGTCATCGCTTCCTGCCGGTGATGTCCCTGGAGGAGGGCTTTTTCAGGGTAGACTACTCTCAGTTCCACAGCACGTTTGAGGTACCGACTCCACCGTACAGTGTCAAGGAGCATGAAGAGAAAAATGCACTGCCCTCACCTCTCTCCACTCCCACCCACACACTCAATGAGAGTCACGGTGCCCGGCGTGACCGGGTGTTTTCCGTGGATTGCATAAACACATCTGAGGATAGAAGGGGAGGGGCTGGGGGTCGACTGCCGAGCAAGCTTCAGAGGATGAGTTCTTCGGGGAAGGATGACCTGCAGAGGAAGGTGCTCCGGCTCAGCTCCCAGCACTCGGAGAAGGCCTGCAGCACAGGAGACCTGCCCCTGAAGCTGCAACGCCTCAGCTCCTCGCAAGGGCCCGAGATGGCAAACCAGCTGGAACTCAAGGCCCTCAAGGTGGGCTTCGAACCCATGACCCAGTCAACTGGAGACCTGTATGAACCCAGCTTAACGCCAACGCTGGCCCCGGCTCCGGTGCCCGTGTACAGCCCTCTGCTGTCAGCTGGACGGAGGCCAGAGGACAACCTGCCAGCAAAGCTCCGGAGGATGAACGCTGACCGCTGAAAACCATAGACAATCCCAACAACACATTCCCACTGACCTCCGTCAAGAAGAAGAAGAAGAAGAAGAAGAGGAGGAGGAGGAGGAGGAGGAGGAGGAGGAGGAGGAGGAGGAGGAGGAGGAGGAGGAGGAGGAGCTTGGACAGAGATTAACTTTGCGTTTGGAGGCTTTTATCATAAAAAAATGATGGTTTTTCTGACAATTTATTGATTGGATTTTCTCTTTGAGACACAACTTTTATTGGAATGACTGTGATTGATGTGTTTTATAGCTTAATGCAGGCTTCGTTACACATGAAAATCACACAAAAACTTCATGGCTAATGCAAACTTGATCATTCTGCAAGAGTATTGCATGTAACCACTAAATCTATGTCCAATTACACTTAATAGTAATTCTTAGTTTTATCTAAAAAATCTATTAAATAAAGAAAATAAATGCTGTTTGATGATTCTCTCTCCTGTGTTGTTATTGTCACACAAATAGTTAAGTTGTTAGCAACAGCTTTGCTAGTCAATAATTAATTCAACAGTGCAATTCACTGCAGTTTAATAGGCTGATGTTAATGGTCTAATCTTGTCCCCTTGGCAAGAGAGTGTATTGAGAGCTATGGCACTTTAATAAGAGAAATATGAAGCATTTTTTGTGAAGAACAATTTTTTTTTATAGTCAACCCATGGTTCAATACAAATAAATAATGTGTATACTGAAGCCTCTTCACAGACAAAACAATATGGTCTTTGTTTGCAATACATTTATCCCACTAAATACCTTTGCTTGGTATCTATTAATACAAGCACAGGAATGTAAACACATTATTTTAAATCATATTTGGTTAGCTTTTGTATCAACATAGGTAATGGTGATCTACTGTAAAGCACAATCCTGTTCCTGATGTCTTCCAACCATTCATAACAACAATCTGTGATTAAAGCAACACACACAGGGCTAAATCAAATTACAGTAAACACCCAAGAATGTGCAAATGTACCGCCACAAAAATCGACTTCAGCATCACAGCGTAAACATATCTGAGGTACTCACATCACCTAAGCCCTAATTCCACCACAATGAAAGCACAAAGAAAGGGAAATCAATGGATGAGGGAGATAGATTTTCCCTGCTTCAACAGCCCACTCGCAGGAACCCTCCCCCTTTCATTACGCATCTGCAGCCTCGACCGCCCTCTCACGTTACTCAGAACTGCTCCGCACACTCTATTCCTCTAATATAGTCTCCTCTGTGTGTTTGTACACTTCATCAAAACACACATGGTTGTCAGTGTTTTCATGCTGTGTATGATTTACCAAATGACACAAACCTGAATAAAGATAGTCTCATTACACAGAACCTCGGCTGAAACAGGGAGAGTCAATAATAGGTAAGTATGATGATGGTACCCAACATTAAGACGTTAATTACACATTAAGACGCCAAAATTATCTTAAGAAAACCATAATGTGCCAGTAAAGCACCTCTTAACAGCTTCAACCAGTAATTACATTTCGATGCATAGCTTTTCATGTGATGGATTAAAATACACTAAACAAAGGCATTACATGCATCAATCATGCCAAACATTCTGACAAGAGGATGGTGGGTGATCTGGTTTGTCTCTAAACAAGCAATTGTGATGAATCCCTCTCTCAAACATCATTTTAAGTTGACATGGAGAGTGTTACTTTAATATGTGGACAACACTGTGTCCATATCACACGCATGTTGCCATTTGAGGCAGTTATTTGCGCAGGTAATGGGATTTGCGGACGCATAAGTATTGTCACCTACAATGTTTGGTATGGCTCATAAAACCAAATCTATTTCTTAACGGCCAATAATTCATGAAGATGTGGGAAGTAAATTAAACAGTTTCAGCTAGCGTTTACCCTGGCGACCTCACAAAGAATGATTCTGTTATTTTAGATAGATAGATGATATATAAATACCTATTGATCCCAAATTGGTAAAAATGATTAAGTTACAGCAGCAGCACTTTAATTGAAGTGATTAAACACACCTATGTGTCAAGTCTTACCAAAAGGCAAAAGCAATAAGGCGATCCAATGATTCATTCTGTATTTCCTTAATAATTTCACAACCTCACCCTACTTACATCCCAATAAATTATCCTCATATATAAGTTGACGATTCCCATTGCCACCAAATTAATGTCATTATTCTTCATGGCAGCGATGCAGTTATGAAGCAATGACCATTAGTGGGTGACAACAGGAATTATCATTCCCAGTGGAGCCGACAAAGACTGTACGCTGCAAGGGGGAGGGGGGTGGGGGGGGGGGTGAGCAGCACTGGGCTGGACTGAACAAATGCAATTTAGGTTTTTCTCTGAAAACCCAATCATGTCTGTGTAGGGAAGACAGGGTGATAAGGGTCATTTTGTTCTTTCTAATGAACGGCTGGACGTAATGATCGGGTCTCTTTTTATTCTCTAGGCTTTCACTCACTGCCCACATCACTGTCACCCCCTCATCTTCATCAGTACAATACAGTGGGCTGCAGGAGCAGTATGATTAAAAGGCTTACAGATAAAGTAGAAGACTTTTTAGTGTCTAAAGATGGATTGCAAATAAGGTCTCAGAAAATGTTATTCAGATTTTGCTGAGTGCTGTGAAGTGATTAAATGAAAAGTGGGAAACAAGGCGAGTGAGGGTAGGGGCAGCGCTCTCTGTTGCAGTCAAGTGATGTTGAAATGCATGTGCGTTTGATTTTGTGTAATCATATATCGTCAATGTTCACGCCTGCGTGTGACAAGTACAATTTCACAGAAGAGGTGGTGTCAGACAAACGATGCGGCCGGGGAGAAAAAGTGCTTATCAGGCACATTGTAGCCAGGAGTGTGCAGCCGTTAAACAGCCAGATGAAACCAAAAAGAAATACATTTTGAATGAATAAATGCTGCATAAAGGAAACTATTATAAATGTGTACAGGTTTGAGACTCCAGGTTTTCATTCAGAGAAGGGGAAACCTTCAGGTTATTGTAATAATATAATAACTCCAGACAAGAAGCTGTCCATTACATGCTTTGACTTCTGGACAAGCACACAGTGCAGGGACGTGCACAGGTACGGGCTATTGTTGCCCGGGCAACGGCCCGTTTTCCCTTTTTGGCTGACGTGCCCCTCTGGAGAGAGCAAGAGGTTTTTGTTTTTTTTCTGTTGTGGTCGAATCAACATGATAAGCCCACAATTAGTATTGTAGTGTCTCGCTGAAACACACCAGCTTCATTCTTCTTCTACTACTTCTTTTACTTCTTCTTCTCCTTCTTCTTAGCCTATGTAGCCTAATTGCCCGCGACATTTTTAATGAATAACTCGTTTCAGTGTGAACTCATTCCACATGACCACAAAAGTGTTTTAAACCAGGTTGGCCTACGTTTTTATTATTTATGTTCTATTATTTACTTCCTCTTGACACCGTCGGTTATTTACAAAAAAAAAAACTATACTTATTGTGCTTCTGTCTTTCTGTGTCTTTTCATCTGCTCCGTAAACTCCTATTAAACATCCATGGTAAACTCCCTCAACGCGCCACTCGCTCTCTTTTCTTGATCGCCCTCTCACAGGAGGACACTTCAATGTCCTGCTTCATTGTAGGATTTCTGCCATGTCTCTACTTTAATTAGACCATCTCTGTTATTAAGTTATGGAACACTGAATAAATAAGTAATTTACTGCGCTCATAAAGAATGATAAGAATAAGAATAATGCGTATTGAACTGGTTTAATTAATTAGTGAGTTTATTTAAGGTCATTATAGAAGCCCTATTTTATCAGTATGTCTGCACAGCAGTTACAATGGTCAAACTACATTGAATTGTCCCCATTTTTTCTTTAATAGTTACTAACATTAGATATTTTAATGAGACATGGACCGCAAAACAAAAAATTTCCCTCGTTTTCATTTACAAAATCAAGTCACCAAATGCAAGTAGTTGCCTTAGCTTATTTTGTTATGAGATGTTGATGTGAATTACTGTTCAAAAATAATGTAATAATAGTTTTGGTCTTATGTTTTTTTTCGGGGGGAGGCCCTTTTTCCAGTTTAGAGCAATAGCCCCTCCAAATGTCTGTGCACGTCCCTGGCACAGTGTGTCAGTGTGTGTGTGTGTGTGTGTGTGTGTGTGTGTGTGTGTGTGTGTGTGCGCGCGTGCGTGCGTGCATCCTAAATGTAGTTTTATTTTACCGTTGGTTTGATCTTTTATCACTAACCAAACCTTCAACAGTTGCTTTAGAATTAAAATCCCACTGATGCTAAAACAACTCAGATTCGTTATTTTACAGAAATGCAAGCCTTTGATTAACAGGCTAAAATTCAAATTAATTAGATAAAACAATCCTTTTATGCAGCTTTTGGTGTTTTCTAAGTTTACAATCAACCAAATTGTTGTCACATAGCTGCTTTTTTGTAATGGACGCACTGCTATTCCCTGGTGTTTGATCTCTGCCATACAAAAAGCCCTAATGAAGAGATGCGTTACACATTTTCAGTTTGTACAGAGTAAATTAATGTCTTCAAAGAAAATAGTACCTTGTGTCTGAGTGATGTATGGAGCTCACAGCTATTGATATGTTGTCATTTGACATGAGGTAATTGTGCGAGGTTTGTACCAAACTTCTCTTGATCTTTAGATGGACCTCATTCTTCAAAAAAAACCTGACACCAGCTGTCTCTGCAGAGCGGAGTGATTATCCTCCGAGCATCGCATTGTGCTGCAGGTCATGGGTCGGCTTGTGGCAGCAAGGCATTGATTGGTCCTTCGATCTTTAGCCTAGTTGCGTTAGGCGGAGCAATGAGAGGGCCGTCCCCAGAGGATGCTCCGACTACACTTCATTCCGGCACTTCAGTCCGGCACTTCAGTCCAGTCTCAGATGCTGGCTTTAAAGAACCAATATACACTCCCCACACATGGCCCACGGGGGAGTATTATGCTAATATGCATGAAGAAAAATCAATGCAGTCGGCCATTCATTATTTTCAAAACACGTCAACAGTGGTTGTCTCCAGTGTAAATCACACATGTTGAAATTAAAATGATACACTAAGA